CAGGAGGGCGGGGACTAGGGCCGAGGCGCGGCCGCGAGCGCGCTGGTTTTGTTGTTGTTTTAAGGGCTGGAGCCCCTAAAAGCGGAAGACACAGGGCGGAAGTGCGTCACGCGCGGCTCGCCCGGACGCGCGGCCCTCCCGCTCCCGCCGCCGCTGTCGGCGCGGGGTTCCCCCAGGGCGTCCGGGGCGGAGTTCCTGGCCTCCCCGAGGCGCTCGGGCGCGTGGGAACCCGCCTGGCCTGCCCTTCGCTCGGCCCCGACCCCCAACCGCACTCGGGCCTCCCCACCGGCGTAGCGGGCGCCAGCGTATGCTGCTTTGACCGCGCCCTGAAGATTTGGGAAGTGTTCCTTTGTCCCAAGAGTTGTCTGCAAGAGTCAGCATCCTTCCTGATGCTGAATCGAACTTCTCAAAATTTCTTCTGTCGAAGCTTTGACGGAGGAGAGACCGTGGGGTGCATTGCATAAAGAGCAAAGGCTTTAACCCCACCGGCGTAGCGGGCGCCAGCGTATGCTGCTTTGACCGCGCCCTGAAGATTTGGGAAGTGTTCCTTTGTCCCAAGAGTTGTCTGCAAGAGTCAGCATCCTTCCTGATGCTGAATCGAACTTCTCAAAATTTCTTCTGTCGAAGCTTTGACGGAGGAGAGACCGTGGGGTGCATTGCATAAAGAGCAAAGGCTTTAAGATGAACCTGAAGTCTACCTCTACGTGTGACCCCGGCTAAACTTTCTGAGCCTCAGTTTACTTCTCCGAATGGAGTGGGTGATGCCTACCTAACTGCATGCTGAGGAGCAAAATGAGCTGTGTGTGTAAACCAGTGGATACAGTTCTGGCGTGTGGCAATCTTTCAAATAAATGTTAATTTCCATTTCTTTCCTCTTGCCTTCGCGAAAGTTGACAGGTGTTTCCTGAGCGCCTACTGTGTGTTGAATACAGTGGAAAAGGAATAGGGATGGCAGTGTTATTTTTCCGTTTTACAGCTTAGATATAGAAACGCAAAGGTTAAGACCACTGCCCAAGGCTGACTTACTCTCCATTTTCTGCACGAGTTTAGGAGTCAGTACAGTAGGTTAAAATTTGTTAGATGTGCATTTTCAGAGCTCCGGGCTTCCACGTAAAGGAGAACGCAAGCGGATAACATAGGGAACTTTGGGAAGATCTTTCCCTCAGCTTCAGAGGTGTGAGTGAAGGGTTAGCTACCACTAGGTGAGTGACAAGGGGAAATTCTTCCCCTTGACAACTCATACAGCAGGATCCCTTACACCTTTTCCTCCTCTAGCTCATTCTTTGTGGTAGGACACCCACATCTTAGTCATACCCTTTCAATGCACTTCTGAAATAAGAGTGAAGTCCACTTTATTTCTTGTGTTGGAGTAAGGACAGGGGGCTGAGGCTTTCTGTAGCAGAAGTCTCCTGGACTTTTTCTGCCTAGTATCGTCATAATAGAACCTTAATTCTAGCTAAAAATATTTCTTTTTAGACTCTCTTACAACTAGGGGCAGCCATTTGACACAGTTCTAGCCAATAAGAGGAAAGCTGGAGTTGCTACTGGGGCTTCCAGAAAAGCTTTCAGATGGACATTTTCTGCAGATCAGGACTCCTCCTTGCCCTAAGGCGTCTCTCTCTCTCTGGAGGAATGTGATGCTAAAGGTGCAGCAGCCATAGCTCAGCCATGAAGCAACAACAGAACAAAGAACATTCCAAGGAGAGCAGAGCACAACAATTAAAAGAGGCCAAATCCTTTATGGCATCATCGTGCCACCGCGTAAGTCCTACATTGTCAGCTGGAAGACTTCTTTTTTGTCAATTCCTGTTTAAGCCACCAACCAAACGTGCAGCTCTTGTCACTTATGCTTGTGACTCAAACTTTCAGGAATCCTTTAGAGAAATGTGATTATCTCAATTGGCACTGTAAAATGTACATTATTAATGAGATAAACATTAGTAATATTATTAAGACAATGTGCATTTCACTGTGATAAGCACTATTTAAAGCAAAGTCCATCAAAGGTTCACGAGCATGGACAAAAACATTTAAAAAATGTAATGAACATTCAAAAGATTGAAACAAATGGATATAAAGATGATATGGTATCTGATAAAAATGGCTCTTTTTTATTTAAAACCGCCAGAATTAAGTACCTAAAAATACTTTTGATGCTGTTGAACTTGGCCACGATAAAAATAGTATGTAAATATCCCATTTTTGTTAAATTATGTATAATGTGTATAGAACAATGTATGAAACCAGAACACTGGTAGTATATAACTTGGACTTGTGGGTGGGAAAAGTAGATAGCACTGAGTGGGTACAAGAGAGCCGTTGCTCAGAGGCTGCTATGAGCCTTGAGCTACCTACCTAAATCGTTCTAAGTGTTGCATATAAGAAATGGAACTATGAAAGATCACTTTCACATCTCAATTACCATTTGTTATTAAAGACAGCCTCTAATGAATTGTTTAAGAGTACAATGCTAATAGGTAAGAAAATGACGTGATTATTAACACTAAATCTACTTTAAAAATATTAACTATTCAGTACATGTAATCTTAGTGGCTAGTTCAGTAATTCAGGGTGATCTGTCTATGGGGTAGCTTTCTTCATTAACAAAATAAATTTAAAGAAAATTATTTATAAGTAATAAAAAAATTTACAGTATTTGTGGGATGTTTATTTACTTCCAATTATTTTAATCTTAGGTGGGAAGGACAGCTAGAAAAGTGTATGTTGACTTATTCTCTGAGATTCCAGTTTCTTTTAAAATTTTAAAGAAAATGCTTGTTACTGAGTTTTTCTTACGGAAATTTGGACTACCTCTCAGAAAGATAAAATACTTTATTGATGTTGAATAATACAGTTTGCAGCATTTGGGGGGGTTTGTTTTTGTTTTCTTTTTTTTTTTTTTTGATAACTTGGGAGGAAAGACTTTAGTCAAGTGATGATCTTGCAGTTGCAAATTTCAAAGATGATGTTGGCCATCTGGCTTCTGATTCCTTCTATTTCTGCTTACACCAAACTCGTCTTTTCCTTTTTTAAAAAGATGCTGTGCCACAAATCAGCTAATCAAATATTAATCAAGTTTATTGTTTAAAAACAAATGAAATCCTTCACTTGAAGCCTAGGAAAATTAGCTCGTTTCAACATTGCACTCTCAAAATCTTAATTGGTCCCAGATGTTTGATTATAAACCATATCGTAGAAAATGGAAGGAAGAAAACCACACATGCATTAAATGGCAAAAGGGCGATTTGAGTGATGTGTCATCAAATGAATTCTCAGAACAACCCTGAGAGGTAGTGAGGATAATGAAGCTTGGAAGTGCGAAGTGTCTTGCCCAAAGTCACACAGCTAGTGACTTCCAAACAGAGTTCTGAGTCATCTATAATACATGCTCTTCCCTCAACACTGAACTTTCATATTTAAAGATATTCTTGGATAACAAGACACATTTGGGGCGAAAAGGCTTTCAGAAATAACACCTAAGAGTCATCTAGGTAAGCTCCCCAAGTACTGCCAGATCATTCTTACCATATCTCTGAAGGGGAATCAGCCAATTTTGGCTTAAACTCTTCCAAGGAGAGGGATTGCCATCGTTTTTACTACAGCATGTCCTGTTATTAAACAGCTATGGTTATCGTAAGTGAATTATAATCTGTGTTTCTATAATTTCTCATTAAGACACTTTTCTCCTCTTGATCAATCCAAAATAAAACTTATTCCATATGCCAGCCCTTCAAATGAGTAACTATTAAATGCTCTCTCTCTACATTGTCTCCAGACTAAACAACCCCAGACCCTTCAACCGTCCTCAAAAGTAGTTTCCAGATCACTTGGAATACTGACTCACCTTTGCACACACTATTTTACATATCCCTTATTAATTATGGTAACCATAATGAGCATTTATACATGGTGAGATTTCTTTAGAATAGTTTTCATGAGGACGCAGCTGTTATGTCTATTAATTTCTATGTTAATAGAAATCTTCATAAGCTGCGTTTCAGAAGCTACATGTCTAGTCGGTAGTTAGAGTGAGCATTTGGCTAACATGGAAGTCTCTTAGATCTCTGATGATTCAATCAAATGACTGATAATGCTTAAAGAAAACTGCAGCTGAATAGCGACACTGACTCCTTTAAGTGACCAGAGAAGTGGGGAAAGGGGACAAATCCCTTATATTTTTTACCCTTTAGAGAATTTGACCTAAATGTGTGTATTACTTATCTATTGCTGCCCCCCCCAAAAAAAAATTTCCCCAAATTGTGGATCAGAATATTGGAAGCAGCTTAGCTGGTGGTTCCGGTTTGAGTTTCTCATGAAATTGCCGTCAAGGTTTCAGACGGCATTCAGTTACCTGAAGGATGATTGGAACTGGAGGATCTACTTTTAAGAGGGCTCACCCATAAGGCTGGCCATTTGGGCTGGTTATTGGTGTGAAGTCTCGGTTTCTCCCCATGCGGGTCTCTCCACGGCACTGCTTGAGTTTCTCACAACATGGCAGCTGGATTCCCCCAGAGTGAGGGACCCAAGAGACCAA